GTTGTAACACTCTCAATATCTCCAAATCAAGCTCAAATCATTTCTCACTGTGCAAATGCTCAGTTTAGTCCTCAACCGTCATGTGAAGAAGCAAAACCCTGTGATAAACTGCAGATTTGATTGTCAAAAATCTGATTTTGAGGTAAGAAAGTAATTTGGGGACACATTTGTTTTTTGTGATGGCATCACCTGCTTTGTAGTTAGATTCTCAAAACTTTTTTCAGGTTTATAACCAGTTTGTGTAGATTGATTTGATGTAAGTTTTAACATGTAGCTTAAATTGAAGCTAGCTAATGGCTGCAATGGTTAGTTTTAACAAGGCTAAGGAGGTCTGGGTGCAGTGCTGGGAATGAAAATGATGGGCCCACCAAGCCTGTACCCTAGGACTACCATACTACTCTCACAACTATGACGCTAACTGGGTGAACATGGCCAACATTCACACACACACACACACACACACACACACACACACCACCCGCTCTATCTCTCTCAAATTCACTCACACACACACACACACACACACCACCCGCTCTATCTCTCTCAAATTCACTCACACACACACACACACACACACACACCACCCGCTCTATCTCTCTCAAATTCACTCACACACACACACACACACACACACACACCACCCGTTCTATCTCTCTCAAATTCACTCACTCACACACACACACACACACACCACCCCGCTCAATCTCTCTCAAATTCACTCACTCACACACACACACACACACACCACCCGCTCTATCTCTCTCAAATTCACTCACTCACACACACACACACACACACACACCACCCGCTCTATCTCTCTCAAATTCACTCACTCACACACACACACACAATGTCACCGGGCCACAAACAAACATTCAGTTGTTTAGGTCAGATGTTGTTGTTTAGCTGAGAAGTGGATAGTTAACGGAGTGTAAAAAATAATTAAACATTTTATGATTTGTATTATGACTATTTCTGCCACACAAAATGTTAAAGATGGCAGTATTGTTATAATGTACTCAATAAAGGCTTTCAATATCTTGTTGCATGTCATGATTTAAGCATTTTCACCCCAAGCCCTCTTACAACTGACCCAGGAGGTAGGAATTATTATTATTATTATATTATTTATAAATTGTAACATTTCACTCCTTGTATTTGAGACTAAGTCTGTTTGATTTCGAGAGATAATACCTACACCAATTTGTAGTAGACAGATGGAAGTTGTTCCTATCACATTTTGAATGTAGTAGCTCAAACAATCTCTGAGAAATTGACAAAAACATTTCAAAAAGTGTTACAACCATCCCCGGTCTCCCCTACAACAGTACTATTTGTAGTCTAACTTTTAACATTTGTGGCACAAATCCAATGCAAGTCAATGGTACCTACAGTGCATTCGGAAAGTATTCAGACCCCTTGACTTTTTCCACATTTTGTTACGTTACAGCCTTATTCTAAAAGGTATTAAATAAAAATGTAGATACAATACCCCATAATGACAAAGCGAAAATGTTTGCACATTTATAACAAATATTTAACTGAAATACCTACTTTACATAAGTATTCAGACCCTTTGCTATAAGACTCGAAATTGAGCTCAGGTGCATCCTGTTTCCATTGACCATCCTTGAGATGTTTCTACAACTTGATTGGAGTCCATCTGTGGTAAATTCAATTGATTGGACATGATTTGGAAAAGCACACAACTGTTTATGTAAGGTCCCAGAGTTGACAATACATGTCAGAGCAATAACCAAGCCATGAGGTCGAAGGAATTGTCCGTAGCGCTCTGAGACAGCATTGTGTCGAGGCACAGATCTGGGAAAGGGTACCAAAAAATGTCTGTAGCATTGAATGTCCCCAAGAACACAGTGGCCTCCATCATTCTTAAATGGAAGAAGTTTGGAACCACCAAGACTTCCTAGACCTGGCCTCCCGGCCAAACTGAGCAATCAGAGGAAAAAGGGCCTTGGTCAGGGAGGTGACCAAGAACCCGATTGTCACTCTGACAGAGCTTGGTGTTTGCCAAAAGGTGCCTAAAGGACTCTCAGACCATGAGAAACAAAATTATCTGGTCTGATGAAACCAAGATTGAACTCTTTGGCCTGAATGCCAAGCTTCACGTCTGGATGAAACCTGGCACCATCCCTACGGTGAAGCATGGTGGTGGCAGCATCATGCTGTGGGGATGTTTTTTAGCGGCAGGGACTGGGAGACTAGTCAGGATCGAGGGAAAGACGAACGGAGCAAAGTACAGAGAGATCCTTGATGAAAACCTGCTCCAAAGCGCTCAGGACCTCAGACTGGGGCGAAGGTTCACCTTCCAACAGGACAACGACCCTAAGCACACAGCCAAGACAACGCAGGAGTGGCTTCGGGACAAGTCTCTGAATGTCTTTGAGTGGTGTGCCAAGCTTGTAGCGTCATACCCAAGAAGACTCGAGGCTGTAATCGCTGCCAAAGGTGCTTCAACAAAGTACTGAGTAAAGGGTCTGAATACTTTTGTAAATATGATATTTCAGTGTTTTATTTTTTATACATTTGCAAAACTTTCTATAAGCCTGTTGTCGTTTTGTCATTATGGGGTATTGTGTGTAGATTGATGAGGGAAAAAACCAATTTAATCAATTTTAGAATAAGGCTGTAATGTAACAAAATGTGGAAAAAGTCAAGGGGTCTGAATACTTTCCGAATGCACTGTATATTAGCATTTTCACGCATCAAAAAATTGATTGTAACTCAATGATGTTACTTATAGATGATTTGGATATGAAGCACAGAAATGCTAATTGACTTGCATTGGCACAAATGTTAAAAAGTTAACAATTGAATCAGTAGCGAGGTAAACAAAACCAAAGAATGGGTAGCTGTCATACCTGGTCCACGGGATGCTTACAGGGTATGAAAACCAATATGAATATGTTTTTTCAACAACAAAAAATATTGGCACATATACCTGATAGGTGCAGTGAAATGTGTTGTTTTACAGGGTCAGCCATAGTGGTACAGTGCCCCTGGAGCAAATTAGGGTTACGTGCCTTGCTCAAGGGCACACCGACAGATTTCTTACCTTGTTGGCTCGGGTTTTCAAACCAGCGACTCATAATTTTATAATTTGAGTGAACTATCCCATCAATGCCACACTCAAATGAACGTGCAAAAACAGGTTGGCTTATTGCAAATATGCTACCCTTTATGACATTGTGTAGGCCTACCAAACAGGACAATGATGAATAAAACAGGGATAAAGGATACGGGGATGTCAAGAACACTTTCCATCAACAAGGTTTTCCGTTACGTCCAATTATGAAGAGAGCGGCAATATTGCCTAGGCCTACTCCCAAGCTGTGTGCAAGTGGCAAGGTCTCTACCTTTTCACACCATCAAATCAAATGTATTTGTCACATGCTTCGTAAACAACAGGTGTAGACTAACAGTGAAACACTTACTTAAGGGCCCTTCCCAACAATGCAGAGAGAATAAAATATAAATAATATACAAAATAATAACACGAGGAATAAATACACAACGAGTAACGATAACTTGGCTATCTATATACACGGGGTACCTACCATCTTTGGTTTGGCAGAGGGAAAATGCACTCCGCGCCATTCTGGCTAAAGCATCTATCATGGGTAACTTTTTGAGTGCCATAACTATAATGCAGTCCGTAATGCCTGCCTATTAGTCTACTGTAGACCTCATTCAAATACATTGCATCGAGTTGGCTCTAGTTGCAATTACAGATTCCCTTGATGTTTGATGTCTTCAAGGTATACTTTAGTTCGAATTATTAGGTTAATCACAAATAAATATATCTATCATATGTCTTGGCACTCTATTGAATAATATGTATGCTCATTAAAGTCAAGTCAAACAGAACTTAAGATCTGTGTTTAACATTTTAAATAATTCTAGAGAACCTCTAGAGGACTGACGACGTGAAGCTCATCTATCGATACTTTGTCTCCATCTACTGTACCAGAAGCGCACTTACCTCTTCAGTTCCCTATTCAGAATTTGACTTGCGCTGCCGCCCGCCACCCGGCGTCTCATCCCTCCCTCCGAATCGAGGAATTTCTAAGTTCTTATCTTGGTCTGCACGTTGCTTGTCGGTGAATATTAACAAACAGCATTGTCTACGAATAAGCCAAAGGACCAAATTGTTTACACGCGACTGAACGGGAGAGGGGGGAGGAGGTGAGAGCTTAGTATATAAAGTACAGAAGGCGCACATGTGGAGCCACTGACAGAACCGTGCAAGTGGAATGCTTTTGCGCTCCTTTGTGAAGAGGTAACTTGTATCCAAAACGTACGCAGTTGCCACCGTGTCGCTTTTTGCTGGCTTTTTGGAACTTTTTCCTTGACCAAGGAATATTCAATTTTGTGAAAAGGTTATTCTTTCTGGACTGAAGAAATATAAAAAGATGGATTTAAGAATACTTTTCTCCATGTTGTCAATGATGTACTCTGGAATTGTACATACAGGTAAGATCTTGCAAAGAGACTCATGCTTTATTAGCCTGACTCTTGAATAGGCTATAAATGTGTGTTTCGGTATTTTTTTCAACATAAATGGTCAAATCAGCGCAAGTACAATAAGATAATCCTAGATAATACATAATATAATATAATAATATAACAATAAATACTCATCCTAAATACTCTAATCCTAAAGCAGAAATGAGGTTAAGCATTGAGCACATAACTGTGAAGTCATATAAGTAACCTCTGATTATTCATTGTTGTAGAAGTAGGCTATATATAGCCATATTGTTATAATATTATTTGCATGAACACGATGAAGAAATGATTAGGTTGTCAAACTTTTAAGCACTGCGTTTTAGGCATTTGACTGTGGCTACTGCTGCATGCAATTGACTTTCCAAGTATCCCTACATAATATTAGATACATATGACGATTTCTGTCAAAAGATTCAATATTGGTTATAATTAACATGCCATGATACTTCTCCTTCACAGTCTCATCTGCCCCTATGGGAAAGGAAACAGCGGTAGCTACCACGGCCAGCCCGGTGCCAGTGCGTCACATCAGGAACAAGCGATGCTCCTGCGCGACGTTCCTGGACAAGGAGTGCGTTTACTTCTGTCACCTGGACATCATATGGGTCAACACGCCTGAGTACGTCACTTTTCCAACCGATTCTATTCTATTATTCTATGTAATGTAACTGGCTGACTTGGTTACAGTTGGCTAATGATTTCGTTCATTTATTTAGGCGCGTGGTTTCCTACGGACTGGGCAACGCATCTAGAAAGAAGCGCGCCATCAAGGATCCCGAGGTCTCCAAACAGGACCCTCGATGCAAGTGCGTCAGTGAAGATGACAGCACATGTACACGCTTTTGTCAGCTGGAAAATCACCTCAGGTATAACATGTTGCAAAATATTAGCCCACAACTTCACTTGGTTCTAACTTGTCAGAACCTACTTACATAATGGTATTAGCCTGATTGTTGGGGTAATTACGCGCGTTCCATTCCATTACTGCAATGTGTATGTTGCAACATTGTAGCCTACACACATTATGCTAAATACATCACCATCTGTGTTTTGGTAGCATATTTCAAAACTCCGTCTCTATTTATCTTGGTGACCTATTCGATTCGATTCTCATTTGAGCTGCTGCCAACAAAGCAAATCACCGTAACCTGTGTGAACAATGTTACACGTTGTCGTGTTATTTTCCCCCTTAAATGTTGCGAAACCATAAGGATTCATGGCAACCCGACTCAAAGTATTGTACACTTTCGCTTTTTCTTACTTTAGATACGCAGCAGCAGCAGCAGCAGCGCCAGACACGGCGATCCGTCCTGCGCCAGACACGGTGATCAGTACTGTGTCAGACGCGGTGATCAGTACTGTGTCAGACACGGTGATCAGTACTGTGTCAGACGCGGTGATCAGTACTGTGTCAGACGCGGTGATCCGTCCCGCCAAGGGCACTGAGTGCGATGGGAGGCGGCAGTGCAAACACAAGCTGGCTGCCAAAACGACGAGGATTAAAAGGTAAGAGAAACCACTACTTAGACTGAACCCAGGCGAATGCCACAGGTCTATTTGCAAAATAAATGGACATGATCATTATAACCTCACGCAAGATACACGCTGAGTGTACAAAACATTAGGAACACCTGCTCTTTCCATGACATAGACTGACCAGGTGAATCCAGGTGAAAGCTATGATCCATTATTGATGCCACTTGTTAAATCCACTTCAATCAGTGTAGATGAAGGGGAGGAGACAGGTTAAAGAAGGATTTATAAGAATTGAGACAATTGAGATATGGATTGTGTATGTGTGACATTCAGAGGGTGAATGGGCAAGACAAAATATTTAAGTGCCTTTGAACAGTGTATGGTAGTAGGTGCCAGGCACACCGGTTTGAGTCAAGCAATGCAACCTGCTGGGTTTTTCACGCTCAACAGTTTCCCGTGTATATCAAGAATGGTCCACCACCCAAAGGACATCCAGACAACTTGACACAACTGTGGGAAGCATTGGAGTCAACATGGGCCCTCGAGCACAATAGTATGATATTATGGGAAAGACTTGTGAAATGTGAAATTTAAGAATATAAGAAATTAAAATAAACAAAGAAACAAAGATCTTCTTGGTATCATTCCCATTATGTGGGAGATGTGACACGGAATTTCCCCACCCAGACTCAGACTACCAGGACATGCATCAGCCCCTTGCAGAAGCGTCATAGTGAGGACTCTACTGGAGCTATCCCCTGACTGGCACATCTCCTTTCACATATCATCGTGTTTAGAAACCTAACCTCTGTCAGTCTGCCTGCTCTGTCACATCGTATCATCGTGTTTAGAAACCTAACCTCTGTCAGTCTGCTCTGTCACATCGTATCATCATGTTTAGAAACCTAACCTCTGTCAGTCTGCCTGCTCTGTCACATCGTATCATCGTGTTTAGAAACCTAACCTCTGTCAGTCTGTCTGCTCTGTCACATCGTATCATCGTGTTTAGAAACCTAACCTCTGTCAGTCTGCTCTGTCACATCGTATCATCGTGTTTAGAAACCTAACCCCTCTCAGAGTCTGCTCTGTATTTAACACTTTAATAAAATAGAAACATAGAAGACAAATTGCTGAGCATGTCTGTTTGACTGCAGGCGATATGACAGTTCAGGCCAACCTTGGTGGTTTTGGTTAGTTAGGATGTTGACAACTGATTGACACCAATGCAAATCTCCATCGACATCACCTGAATTCAACTGTCTTAATAATAGCCCCTGAGAGGATGAATCCAGTTGTTTGAGTCTGATCACTGGTGTCTAACGGGCCTCTCCTCTTTCTCTCCAGGGTGAAACACAGAGACCACAAAGCAATTGGCCCCTCAGCTCTAAGGGCCACAGTGAAAGCGCGCCTGCTGCTGGAGAAGTGGATGGTAAAACAACAACACAAGCCGAGAGAAGAGAGATGAGGAGAGAGTTGAGGAGAGAGTTGAGGAGAGAGTTGAGGAGAGAGTTGAGGAGAGAGAGATGAGAATACACAGGTGCACCTTGTGGGAGATGTCCACATACTCTGTCGCACTCACAGAGGGGAGAGATTCACCCATCTCTTTCTATCCACCTGCCATTGGGGACTCGCATGCTGTAGTCCCTGGAGATGCATTGGATACTCCACAGGAAGCCTGCCACTGGACCCACATGTTGGCTCAATGGTGTGGGTCACGAAAGGGGGTGAATGGCTGTGCTGGTGGGTGCAGCGTCACGTCTCCACTGAACTTGTCCCTCTTCATCAGAGATATGCAAGACGGTCGGAGATACATGCAGGAGAAATCAGATGAACGTGCGTCAACTTTATTGACACCACATCCTAAAGACAAGGATGGACACTTGATGGTCCTCCCATGTACTGTCTGTGGACACACCTTTGGACTTCAGCGGCAACCCTCAAACAGAACTTCAGATCATTAGCTAATGACTTTAATGGCTGAAGCCTTACTCTATACATTCCTTTGACTGTCACTGGATTTGAGAGACCGGGCTACTTCACGTAGCAGCATCAGAAGCACTTTCGCTGCTAGCCTGTCCAAAGTGCTTATGTCTGCTCTTTCAAGAAAATGTTGGATTCAAAGAAGATCACAATCTCATAGACTTATTGAATTGACTATATGGCCTGGCATAAGTAACTCAACTGATTGATTCCGGGGGTTATCATAGTCTGACTGAGGTTTACCACCTTTGACAGACCTAACCTTTCCAAATGATCTTGTGGCTATCCATTAGAACTTGGGAGTTTTCTGCTGATATTGGTTTCTGTCTATGGTTGTATGAGATTTCTCTATACATATTGTATAATAATTAATCACTGTATATTGAATGTGCATTGTTCTGTCCCTATGTTTTATTTATTGCATTCATTTATAGTCATATTGGCCCATGATATGATAATATGTTGTATGTAATTTCTGTGAAATAATTTTGTCGCCAAGATAGTTTTGGCAAAACTTAGGGAAATAAATTGTCACACTTATTTAAAATTACTTTATCTCTCCTGGTATTCATTCTGTTACACACTCACATACATTATATTCCAACTCAGTTCAATTCAATTCATTCGTATTGATAGAACTTTATTGTCCCCCGAAGGCCACACAAAAAACGCAAGTGTAAGACGTGGTTTGTAATCAAATTAGATTCCTGAATAATCCTTTGCAACCATTGATGCACTATAAAGGGAATACAGTGCCATTTGGGACGCGGGTCTCCAAACCGTTGGAGACCTGAGATAATGAGAAAGTGCCGTGTCGACTAAAAAGTGATGATATGGAAGCTTACCAAAGTGTGATATAAATAATATGGCTAACCTCAACCTTTCATCATCGTGTCAAACAAAAGCAAACTCTACAATGTGTCAAACAGCTGCAAGGGAGAATCCTTTGTGTGAAAAGTGGGACAAAAGTTGTGTTGCTTAGCTTACGCCATTATTTCAGGTTGTCGGAGGCGCGTTTTTCTCTCTTTATTTCGATCAAGATAGGAATACTCGAACTTTGCGTTCTCTGATACTACAAGTGACTCGTAACACAGCAGAATTCACCCATCAACCAGCCTGAGTTACTCTGAAGCGATTGTCAAACAGCAGTCCCCCACCTTAGAGACCCACGTTCCCTCCACTCTCTGAGGTTCTGTTGAGACTTAAAGGCCATTATTTACAGCTGGCATGTCTTAATCAGCCTTTACCAAGTCTGAGAGGCCTTAGTTTGTCCTTGTTACCAAGTCTGAGAGGCCTTAGTTTGTCCTTGTTACCAAGTCTGAGAGGCCTTAGTTTGTCCTTGTTACCAAGTCTGAGAGGCCTTAGTTTGTCCTTGTTACCAAGTCTGAGAGGCCTTAGTTTGTCCTTGTTACCATGCCTGACAGGCCTTAGTTTCCACAATACACCCCAGCCTCCACAATACACCCCAGCCTCCACAATACACCCCAGCCTCCACAACACACCCCAGTAGATAATTAATTCACGTTTGGACTATGTAGGGAATAGCGTGCCATTTGAAACGCAGCCTTAGATTCCCTCTCAGCCCATATAAGTCAATAAGGGCAGTGGTTGGGGCCAGTGTGTTATTTATTTTATTTTACCTTTATTTAACTAGGCAAGTCAGTTAAGAACAAATTCTTCTTATTTACAATGACGGCCTACACCGGACGACGCCCTACGGGACTCCCAATCACGGCCGGTTGTGATACAGCCTGGAATCGAACCAGGGGGGTCTGTAGTGACGCCTCAAGCACTGAGATGCAGCGCCTTGGACCCGCTGCGCTGCGCCACTCGGTGCGCCTTGGTGAGTGTGACCTTGGTGAGTGTGACCTTGGGGACTGAATTCTTTATGCCCTGTGTCTATTTCACTGGCTGATTGACAGTCAAGAGTCAGCTCTGTAAATATGCACTTTCTGTAGGCCTAGGGCCACAGAGGAGAAGAGATTCTAAATGTAGTGTTTCTTCTTTAGCTATGTGACTTGTGTCGGTTACATGTAAAGTATATGTAAGTCACAACACTAGAACATAATATGTGACGTTTGACCAGTAGCCTATGTGTTGTGTGTTGTGTGATACACTCTGCTGGATTAACTCAGGGTTCAACAGATCCTCTCGCAGTCTGTTGACGTGCCAAAACCTTGTAGCCAATTGGGTAACACTATTGCTCGTTATGCTGTGTGTGGAGTTCATACCACATGACCTCTCACTGCATTGCAGAGGTCACTTTGCTGTAGTTTTGATGCCGTTGAGAACTGAGGAAGTTATGCCCATCACAGCCTAGAGTGTGGAAAAGGATAGCTCTTTCATGACCCTTTCAGCACATCAGGTGCTTTCTGCTTCTTTTGCAAAGCAGAGATCACAGTGTTGAAAGGGGCCGATTCAGACTTAGGAAATGGTACGCCTTTCCTAAGCGTGCCTTTGACACACGTGCCCTTCCTACACACGCCTTTTCTTAAGCATGCCTTTCCTAAGCATACCTTTCCCACACACTTCTCTCAGTATTTGGTATTCAGACTTAACTTATTCAGTCGCATAACACGCTCTGCAGGTGTGGCTACCTTGCGCGCTCTCATTCAGTAGGGTTTTAAGTACATTTATCTTAAGCCATCCCTTTAAATATGGTGTACCTTTTAATTAGAATTTTGTCTACAGACTCACTGGAATACATAGAGAGAACGGGTTCAGAATATTAGCGCTCAATGAAAGAAAGCCGTCTAAATATATGCATATTCGTCTCCGTTTCATCACCAATTGGTAGATTATTTAGGTTTAGGAAAGTATTTAGGAATCATAAAAAACAGGTTTGCATAGCCTTTACGCACCAAATAAGGACAACAGTGGTTTGATTCATTCAGAAAATTTCCACAATCAGAAGGATTACTCGTTTACCTAGCTCTTATCAATAGCTCTTATCCATTATAAATTACTGTGCATGGAGAATGGTGTTACTTCTATCGAAAAAAAATAAAGTAGATGCTTTTTCCACTTGGAAACGACAGGTTCGCTCAACCTTAT